TCCTCAGCGGGAGTCGAACCGCAACAGTGCAGGACGGGAGCTTGACACGCTAACCACTCGGCTACATTGCCACGAGCGTGTTTTGGGTCACAGAACAAATGCGAATTTTCAAAGAAGGCCAGGTCTTTTTGCCATATCATATTCTTCGGTGGGATTGTCGATGAAGCAAACATATATTTGCTATAACAATCGAAAACTATACTTTATTTTTCGCAAAAGTATTGTGTCGAGACTACTCATATCATTGTGGGAAAATTCTTCCTCTACCAATCCTTCATCACCTTAAACGAAATTGGGTTAATACATCTCGTATTACTGATTTACTGGTAGACACGAAAAACGATACTTAATTCGAAAAAAAAGTATAGTAGTCGATTGTGATAGCAAATATACGTTTGCTTCATCGACAATTCCACCAAATGAATATGCTATGGCAAAAAGGCCTGGTCTTCCTTAAAAATTCACATTTGCCCTGTGACCCAAAAAATGCTCGTGGCAGTGTAGCCGATTGGTTAACGTGTCAAGTTCCCATCCTGCACTGTCGCGGTTCGACTCCCGCTGAGGGTGTTAATATGACCGATGCGAGGTCGAAACTGCAGTCCACTGGTGATTGGATAAAAACAACTTTTGGGAAAGCAAGGCTATTTGGAATTCAATGGAAATGTCAGCTTAACTCATATCATTGTGGGAAAATTCTTCTTCTACCAGTCTTTCATCGCCTTAAACCAAATTTGGTGAATACATCTCATATTACTGATTTACTGGTAGTCACGAAAGCAATACTTAATTGTTCATAATTAATTTGTAAAAATTTTGACAAAACCGTCACAACAACATAGGCTAACATAATAATAACGGCATCCAGTCGGGAAGTAACTTTAGCTTAGAACTTTGTCTATTTAAGTCCGGATGTTTATGATCAGGCCAAGTTGCTTTCATCCCCTCTTCATGGCTGAGATTAGATGGAACCATTAAACATTTATTTCCCAAGCATTCCGTTATTTTAGAAGTGATCCGAGCCCATTTGCTCAACTTGGTCGTGTTGTCAAGGCGACCTAGTTGGACACACCTTGCCAGAAGTCCTCTGCCACAGTAGTTACGATAATAGCCAGCATCAGATGGTAGACTTGGTGCATTCTCAGATGTTTTGCCGGCATCGTAGTCGGCGTCGCCAGTGAGTCTTGCCGGTCTCAGTACCAAGCTGCAACTCATTAAAGAGACAATCGAAGGCAGTCCCTTGGCCAACTTTCTGTCAAACGGTTGTGATTTCACTCCTCTTTCTGTCCTGGCACATCCGCCTGCTCCACAACCTCTTATTTCAATCCCACCCTATCACAACTTCCGACTTGTTAATATTCGACTCCTCCAGAGGTGTGCCATTTTTGGCGAGCTTAGCATGGCGTCATCACACCTGTTGTTTACCTTGCCCCTCCTCCCTCACAGTTTGCTGAATCGACTCGGGCCTTCTATCCGCATCTCCTTCATAGGTCGGTAGATTCAATTCTTATCTTTCTGGTTGACGGATTTCCTTATATTTCAGTCCCACTACACGTTTTACACCTCAGACGCTATTTATCAAAAGGAGCGCCAGACTCTGATTCCCATGCTTCTAGATCCCAGGCTTTGTCTCCACGGCTCATCGTCCTGATTCAACATTTGTTCTCGGAGAAGAACTCTAAACGTTTATCTCTGGTCCCCTGCTGCACTTCGAGTGGATTACTAGTCAATTTGGTCATAATGACACATTTATGTTACCGTTGTGATAATCCGCTCCCTAGTCTTGTGGCTTCCACGAGCCAAAAGTTGTAATCGTTGCTTCAAGCAAACTAAACCCACTGAAAACGTCTTCTCTTGATGTCCTGGTGATCCATTTTCCACCTATTAACGATAGGTCCTTGATTCAGGCGTCTCCTTTTTGCAGGTCTTGCCCTATCTTTGTCTTCTCCGAGCTTGCTCAATTGATATGCAAAGTTATCTCTAATTCTGCATTCTTCCAATTTCCCATTCATCACAGTTTTTCCTCAAGGACGTCAATGGCCTTCCTAATCTTCACTTGCCTTTTGTTTCCACCATTATTTCGGTTGCCTTCCTATTTATCTCGTGTCCAGTCTGTGTGATGTGTTCTGCTATCTACGATTTTTCGGTATCCTTTTTCCTGCAGAGCTTTTGATGTTCCATTATTCGCATGCTGATTTTTCTCCTGTTTCGCCAACTTATTTCAGTTTTCAGACACCACATTCAATGCAGTAAAATCTCGAGCAATCCAATTTGCCTATCCTCTGATTTTGCGTAGGTGAACGTGTGAAGAGTGTTGTTTTTCCTTCGTAGTCACCTGCATATTCCATTTTCTTGATATTCTCTGTAGTTTTCGAGTTAGTTCGTTGGAAAATGGTCATAACGACTATTGTGAGTCTTTATTCAGCCTTACTTTTCTTACATAATGCCCGTCCTGCCATCGGCTTTTCACTGCCCATGTGCTTTTTCGTATTACTTTTATCGGGTATCCGTTGCCGAGGAATATCCGAGTCAATTTTTTCAATTCTTCATCCCAGAATTCCAAGTCTGTTGATCATAGGCTTCTGATGATTATGTTCCTCATTACTCCTATATTCAACCCGTAGCTGTACTTGTACTGGAAATATAGTATTATTCTGGCATATTACTTCTTTCTCAGCCATTTCATTTTGAGCGTCCCATTCGAGTTAATAACTTCAACATCCAGGAAAAGCAATCTCTCCTCTACTTCTATTGTGAATTTGATTTTTTCATCATTCCGGCTTATAAACTTCATGAAATCTTTCAGTTTGTCTCGAAGTAGTCATCCAGGTACCGCGTGAGCACTCTTGATTGCAGCGATGGGGTCTTGAAATTCCCTCCTAATTTTTCATATATACGTTGGTCAAAAGAGGTGAGAGCTGTGATCATATAGGAAGTTTAAATATATGTCCGTTGAATGTGAAGTAGGTAGTGCTTATTGTCATGTTGATTAGTTGTAGTAACGACACCCTCCTGATCCTTTCTGCCTCCAGAATATCATCTTCTCAGTCAATGATCTTTAGCAGGGCCGTTTACGCCTTTTCTCCAGAGATGGTTGCATACATAGTTTGTACATCAAAACTTACCAATACTTCTGTTTATTTCAATGCCATATTTTCGATCCTTTGAGAAAATATATATTAATACTTCACTATGTTTCTTCCTCTTGATTTACATCCATACAAACGTTACCAATTTGTGTGTTGCTCCATACTTGTTGCTGGTTATCAGCCTTAGTGGTTCCCATTCTTTGTGTATCTTCTGAAATCCGTAAGCTGTTGGTGGTCGTACATCTTTTCTTATTAGTGAATTTGTCGTCCATCCGTCGACATTGCCGTTCCTATGCTTATCTTTCAGCATCTCACATAATCTTTCATTAATCGTCATCTTTGGGTCCTTCTTTAGTACATTATACTCAGTCCTATCTTTTAATATACACTCCGTCTTCTCGTTGTATTCTTTCTATCCATTATCACTATCGGTCCTCCTTTATCTGCCTGAAAGACTAAGTGTTCATTCCTTTGTAGGGTCCTGCGTATCCTCGCAAATCTGTTCCTGTTTGTAAGCTCCTGATGTGTCGAAATTATTGGGATTATTCCCATCACCATTTCCCGTTTTTTTTCTTCAGAGAAGTTGTCGGAGCCATTGCTGGCCTACATCAGCAGGTATTTTAGAACAATTTGCCATTTCTAAGAGAAAAGTTTGGCCTCTTTTTCAGAATCATAGTAGTTTTAGGATCAAGAGTTACAAAGAATAAATTCATCACTTTATCCTCCAGATCATCGTACTGATCGGTTGGTGTTGTCACGTCTGAAACCGCATAAGCTGGCTTTAACATATACTGTCTTATAATCCCATATATAAATAAATTTTTGTTATGTCTCTTTGTTTTTAGGTCAGAGATCCTACATGATTTCTTGTCGGCCATCCTCTGGAGTCTTTGATAATATTCCGGAGTCAGAATCCTGACAAGATCACGCCTGAGCTTTGACTTAATAGACTTAAATAAATTATCCCTCTTCATATCATAAGTTTCTCTTAACTTCTGATTGAAGGCCTGGCAAAGAATCTCATTAACCTTAACTGAATGGTAGAGTTTCTTAAGGTCACAGAATCCAGGAGTGATACAATAGCGTTTACAACAGTTTAAAAAGGTCAGATGGAAAGCTCACGAGTTAGCTCGAATATGCTTGTAGGGATGATGCCCTGCTCTGATGATGTCCGTTATGCGACGAACAAAAACTTAGAACGTTTTCGACGGAGTCAGAAGAGATAAGCTCAGAGATTACCGGCAGCTGATCAAGAAGAATCGCCAGTCGTTTTCAGGTGGGATCAACCTTCAAAGCTCTTAGTCAGACACTTTCAGTCGAAGTAAGCTCAAAAATTACAAAACAAATGATTTTCTTGTCCGGCTGTATCTGGCGATCTTACTACCGTAGTGTAAGCGTATATATGAAAACCAAAATGTCGTGCAATCTCTTTTTGCTGTCAAATTTCAAACATATCACAACTACTAGAGCAGACGACTTCGAACAAGATTTGACCAACCAGGTTGCCCCGACAACACGATCAAGTTGCGAAAACGAGGTCGAACCACTTTTATACATCGAAGGGAGACTGCGATTATAATAGAGACCACAATATCTTGGTATTCATAGTTCTGTTCTTTTGTCAATCGAACTCAGCAGAGGAGCAGTGAGCTGCATATTTTCACAAATACTCACTTTGCATCGAATGACCAGCATATGACACATTGGAACAATTTTTGCATGGGCTGAGGTTGTCTAGCTGCTGACTTTATGCAAAGCACAATCTTTAATTCAGATATTCCGTATCTCTTAGCATGCCTAATTAATTCAACGGTACTTTTGCCCCTTTGAATGACAAAAGCAAAGTAGTCGCGGCAACTCAATAGGACACAGTACGTAAAAGAATTTAGCACATAGTATCGCTTCTGCCCACTTTTGGAGAGAAGTTTAATCCTCCACCGACTTCCGGCAACACATAAACAAACTAATTTGCTCATGCGGTCGCTATTTTGTCGAAAATACCCGCTATTTCATTCCCCGAAGGGTAGCGGGGTTAAATGAACATATGTGAAGACTGTTATTCACAAAAATTTGTAACCAAATCGCTAAATCTTGATGAAAGATATAATTCGTTCGGATTTATCAGTGTGCAGCTGTTCTCAAGTCAAATTTGCAGATTACTAAGTAGCTTAAATGTAAGAAAACGGATTAAGAGGCTTAGAATGAACTTCTTGAATTGAGTTACTCTGATCCCATTTTCTCAAGTTAGTAAGTAATTCAGAAAAGCTTTGAAAGCATACTCTATACTGCTTCTGCTGGTGTTCCTATCTATTCCCACAGCATCAAACTGTCAACTGTGCACATTTTAAGCCATTTTGGTTGCAACATATCCTGCCTCTTTAGTCAGTGTTGTCATCATTACTGCTTATCCAACAGGGTGAAAATTTCAGAGAATGCAGTGCACGCTCTGCAAAGTTTGTAAGCAAACAAGACTAAGTTGCCCGAGCGATATCAGCCAATGTCTAAATGGAAGGAGACTGTAACCTAACTAAAAGCCACGTTATCTTGTTATTCACATCTGCGAAAGAACCATTGTATATCGAATTAACAGATTTGCTACCAGTAAATCGGTAATATGAGATGTATTTACCCTATTTCGAGGTCAAAACTGCCGTTCAACTTGGATAAAAATAACTTCTGGGAAATCAAAGCTATGTGAAATTCAACAGTACCGTCAGCTCTACTCATATCATTGTGGGAAAATTCTACTGCCAGTCCTTCATTACCTTAAACGAAAGGGGATGAATACATCTCATATTACTGATTTACTGGTAGTCACGAAACTCCACTTAAATACGAAATATACTTTTCTTATTGGTAATACAAGTACTCAACTTGCTCTCCACACTTGAATTCGCAGACAAGGTTGTTTAAGAAATCTGTTGTTTGTTCGGTATTGCGCAGTCGTAATGATGCGTATCCTCAAGTTCGCTTAGGCGAAAAGGTTCTCTAGCTCAGCCTCCTCTATATAACGTAGCCAGTAAGTTTATGAAAGGCTCTAAGGTACCAGAGCAAAAAAAGAGAATGGTCTGTCAATAAGAGGCGAAATTTAGCTCATTTCAGCACAGCCGTATGAAAGCACTTGGTGTCCTGAGGGCAGCAAAATTGAAAATAATTAAAATAAGGCGAATCGACTTATTTTAGAGCTACGGTTTTAAAGAGATTGTACTCGTACCTGACCCTTTAGTTCGTACGAAAAGTAGAATGGAAAGGATTTTTGTGTTGGCTCTACTGGATTGAAATATGATTTCTTTGAATTTATTGTTTGTAAGCACTACAGTACTGTGACCTAACCCTGACTGCTTCATGGTCCAATTCTCCAACAGATAACTCCGTACTAAACTTTGAGGCTCCATATAGCATCTTTTGCAAGACTCCATGCCCTAGCATTATATGAAAAAACCTAATCCCACTTGCCTTAAAGCCTGATATCGCCAATTTAATACAGGGATATGAAAGCGAGGCTAACATTAAAAAGTCCTTTAGACCACGCTTTCGGCAAAGCAGCATGGAACACTTCTGTGTCCGAGCAAGGCGTGGTAGAGGACACTATAAATTCACAACTTCATTGGGTATGTATACATTTTGACAATATAATTAAAATTTTGATTTTTCGTATTTAAGTAGAGTTTCGAGATTACCAGTAAATCAGTAAAATAAGATGTATTTACCCTCTTTCGTTTAAGGGGATGAAGGACTGATAGTAGGATTCCCCCACAATGATATGAGTAGAGCTGACGTTTCCATTGAATTCCACATGGCCTTCATTTCCCAAAAGTTATTCTCAACCAGGGTGGACTGCGGTTTCGACCTCGCATCCGCCTTATCAACACCCCCAGCGGGAGTCGAACCGTTACAGTACAGCATGTGAACTTGACACGTTAACCACCAAGACACATTGCCTCGAGTGCCCTTTGGTCATAGGGCAGATGTGAATTTTAAAGAAGGCCAGGCCTCTTGCCATATCATATTCTTTGGGGGGATTGTCGATGAAGCAAGCGTATATTGGCTATAACAATCGACTATCTAACTTATTTTTCAACAATAAACCTAATCAAAGCAAGCAGTACCACAACATTTGTGGGTTGGTACACAAGAGACTATGGCATAGGAAGTGATAGATTTGGTATTAGGAAAAGAAACTGGATGGACGCGGTGGTGACTAGAGCTAGTTGGTTGAAAGTAGGCATGTTTCACCATAGACTTGGTTAATTTAGCAATGGCTTGGCTATGAGTATTACTCAGGGGCTTTATCCCCGAGTAGCACAGATGGGGTGGCAGGGGTCGAGTGAAATACTTGAACGAGGGAGATAGGTGACGGATCAAACGAGGCAAGAGGGAGACTTTGATAAGACCCAGGGAAGAAGGACTGCGTAACAATATGGCAGACTCTGATCAACATTCCAACCAAAAGGGTGAAGTGGAGTGAGAACGCCAGCGTGGAGTGTGGAGGGTTCTCAAGAAAGCCGCTCAAAAGGGCACACCATACCACATTTAAATAAACAAGTAACAAAGTGTGATAGTAAAGGCGTGATACGA